CTATATACCCTAAGGATGATTTAGGCCAAGTTTGGTTTTATTTGGCTTATTAGTTTCAGAGGAGAAGATTTTTGGGCCCGGTTAGCTAAAAATGAAATTCATGAAATAAGGTTGAGGACGTTTGAACATTGTCTGAAATACAGTATATGTAGACCTTGCAAGGATTCCTTCCATTTACCAAATGAAATTATCATGTTACTCTTAACAAGTTAGAATTTCCTATGACTAAAATGACCATATCATTGATATTCATGTCAACACCGAAGTGCTGACTACTGGGTTGCTGATACCCTCGGAGATGAAACGTCCACCAGCAGTGGCATCGACCCAGTGGTGTAAATAGTTATCAAAGGTACCAGGCTTATAATTTGATACGCCAGACGCGCGTTTCGTCTAGATAAGACGCATCGGTGATGCTCAGAACAGAAAGCCAAACTAGTAGGAAATTGAAGAGCATTGATGAAAAAATTCCAAAAAGTTGTGCCAAATACGGCTAATAAAAAAGGAAGATGTGGTATGATTGCCAATGAGACAACTCTCCACAAGAGACCAAATGACACAGAAATTAACAACTATAGGTCACCGTGCGGCCTTCAACAATAAGCAAAGCCCATACCGCATAGTCAGCTATAAAAGGCCCCGAAATGACAATGTAAAACAATTCAAACGAGAAAAATAACGGCCTGTTTTATGTACAAAAAATGAACGTTGAACAAATATGTAACACATAAACAAACGACAACCACTGAATTAAAGGCTCCTGACTTGGGGACAGGCATACCCATACAGAATGTCGCGGGGTCGAACATGTTAGCGGGATCCCCCCCCCCCCCTAACCTGGGACCGTGGTGTAACAGTACAACATAAGAACGAATTATAAAAATCAGTTGAAAAAGGCTTAACTCATCAGATGGATAAAAATACAAATATTACAAATACAAGTGGACATGGCCAGGTACTTGTACATACCAATAACAAAAAGACACTAAATTCGGATCTGAGAGTACTCGCAGTTACTGACAGTTAGTTCAAAGCCACTAACAACTAATGAAAAAAATCATGCATCTAAGACTTAATTATCAATCAGTATACATCCAACATCCAATGGATTTAGTGTAAAGACGTCATAAACAGTCAGAGAAAACATGACCTTGTGCAACGCCAAGATACAGGTATCGACAAATTGTAGATCCATGAATGTGTATATGTATATAACAATAATTTTTAGTTTGCTTTTAATTTACTGATAACAAAATCAATATTAATACCAATAAAAACAAAATTCAATGATCTAATTACAGTGTTGAATTGGTAACCTTTTAGAATAAGTTTATATAAAGGATCGATAAGTTTACCAGGATCGTTTCTAAATTTCCAGGCACGGTAAAAAAAACATTTCCGTTAAAAAAAAGGATGTGCTATCCCGTTTGAAATTAGTTTTCTGCAGGTACAACCAAACTTCAAAACCACATCGTTATATCTATGGAAGAACTTAGTGAAGGTTTTAAGTAATTTGTGGTAACAAAATCCCTGGCTTAATAGTTTACCAGTAATTAGATATAAGAAGATGTGGTATGAGTGCCAATGAGACAACTCTCCATCCAAGTCAAAATTTATAAAAGTAAACCATTATAGGTCAAAGTACGGTCTTCAACATGGAGCCTTGGCTCACACCGAACAGTAAGCTATAAAGGGCCCTTAGATTACGTACATAGATTACGTTCGTTAAAAACAAAAACGTCACAACAGACACGGGCATGGCGAACGAGTAGTGAAATATAAACACTGTCACAGGTGCTAAAGGAACATCACCATCCAAAAGGGAAAATTAACAATAGGGAACGAAAAATCGTCCCTTTTGTGGTAAATTTTAGTGTTGAGTTTCCCGTTATAAACCGAAATATCTAAATCTAGGAAAGGACAGTTATTACCGTTTAAATTTGATGTATTTAAAGTAAGTTCCCGTGGGTAAATTTCGGCAGTATATTGAGAAAATTCTTGATTATTTTACGAAAAAATATCATCAAAATAACGGTAAGTGTTGTTGAATTTATCAATTAAATGCAATTTAGACGGGTCTTTTCTGAGTTTGGTCATAAACTGTGATTCTTAACAGTACAAAAATAAGTCTGCTTTTAAAGGGGCGAAATTAGTGTCCATAGGAATACCTACAACCTGTCTTTAAACTTTGTTGCCGAAACGTACATAAATATTATCAAGGAGAAAATTAACAGCTTCAATAATCTCATCACACCTTCAGTAAGTATATCAGCATATTTGCCTTTCTCATTAGAGAAGAAGGCTTGTAATGATTTGCAGCAAATATATTTGCATTCAGATTTACCAAACGACCATTTAATTAAACATGTTAAATAGGAAAACTTTTGTTTGATAAGATTGTGTGGAAGTGTAGTGTAAAGAGTAGAAAAGTCAAAACTGTCAACAGAATCAAAAGCACCATCAAAAGCACGTTATTTATCTAAAACATCCAAAGAACTTTTTACTACTCCAAAAATAGTTAATTCCACTATTTTCATATATTTTATTACAATAGTTTATGATAAGCTCTTTGATAGTAGTTAAGAAACTTGTTAAAAGCATTGAAAGATTGGTTGTAGAACACTTACTAGAGGCCGAGATGAAACAATCTTTTACTGGTTTGTTGTGTAGTTTAGGTAACCAATACATAGTAGGGACCTTCAAATGTTCAGTAGAAGTCTTAAGCTGTGATGTTGTTATGATATGTTTATTTACTATATGACTATCTGTGGAGCGCATGGACTTAAATGTAGATGAATATAAAATTTCATTCTTAAGAAGGTACGTGTAGTATTTACAGCATACCACTACCACATTGTTGGCTGCTTTGTCGGCCGGTACAAACACAAACCGCTTTGAAAGTTCTTGAAGTTTATTTCTTATTCTGGAAATAAGCGTATTATGTACTCTGTTATTTACTTCTAAATTATTTTCAAAATGTGATATTTCATTATCTACAACATTCATACATTTATTTAAATAAGAATCAAGAGATGTTTTTAACCTCACTGTCCTGGACAATATTGAGGTCCCACGTAATAACATGGCCATAGGGAACATACCTACACTTCAACGATTCACAGTTTCAAGTTAAAAGAGCATATTATTTTCTATGTAAGATTATCTACATGTATGCCTGAGATAAGAAAATCCTTAGTATTTCGAATAATTCATACTTTTGCAAACAGTAAATTTATAAAAAAATTACCATATAATTGATATTCATGTCAACACCGAAGTGCTGACTACTAGGCTGGTGATACCCTCGGGGACGAAACGTCCACCAGCAGTGGCATCGACCCAGTGGTGTTATTCAAGATTGATGAACCATGAAAATGAGGTCAAGGTCAATGAAAAAATGACAGATAGAAATTACATAACATAAGCCATTTGTAACTTCTAAAATATAAAGTTTTTAATCTACACCGTCGCATTCCAGTAATTACGCCATGTCTCATATTCTGAAACTTTCTCCTAGAGGAGACGAAAATTGGACAAGGAATATTAATATTGGAGCGCCTAGAATGCAACTTTTATGAATTCGAATTTCCAAGGGAAAAAACTCCATTAAAAATAGTTGACAGGTACAGATTTTTCGATTCAGTATGAGTCATTGTTGATTTGTACATTTAATATAATTTCCATCAAATGCAAACTGCCTAGAATTAACATGTGAGGGAACAGGATGGGACAGACGAACAGACTAACACCTTGTGTTTCTGTGTTCCCCTGCATGAAATTGTGTGAAAGACTAAAAAAGAAAATGATTTATCAATAAAATCAAGCAATTAACACTCATGCAGAAAAGAAATTTGTCAAGTAGATTTACAAAACAAGCAAGTCATTTCTATGTGGAATATTGTTTATTAAGATTCAAATTTCTAGTCATTTCATTTGAAGATATTCACAAATCATCTAATCTAAAATTGCTATTTTGAATGAGGGCTTGTCATTTAATCATATGTTTTTATATTTTTTCAAATGCATGACCAAATCAGTGACGTCAACTGTACCTTTAGGTCGTAATAAGCTGTTGATGTTAAAATACAAACGTTAACGCTACTTTTAAATTAGTCTTTTAAGGTGGCACCCAACACCTTGACTAATATTAATTTGGCTCGTTTAATTTTCATAAAATTTTGACCAAATGTTTACTTTGACCCTTTGACAAAAATATAAAAATTTCAAAAAATTTGAACCAACCACTTTATCAGAAAAATTTCATTGGTTATATAGCAGTTTGACAAACACCAATTTTGATCATTGAGAAGCTTAATATTCCCTTAACAATACAACGTAATTAAAACGTTTAGCTGATTTTTACAGAGTTATCTCCCTGTAGTGTTAGGTACCATCTTAATATCAGATTTATTAAATAAAATTGAGAATGGAAAAGGGGAATGTGTCAAAGAGACAACAACCCGACCATAGAGCAGACAACAGCCGAAGGCCACCAATGGGTCTTCAGTGCAGCGAGAAACTCCCGCACCCGGAGGCATCCTTCAGCTGGCCCATAAACAAATATGTATACTAGTTCAGTGATAATGGACGTCATACTAAACTCCAAATTATACACAGGAAACTAAAATTAAAAATGATACAAGACTAACAAAGGCCAGAGGCTCCTGACTTGGGACAGGCGCAAAAATACGGCGGGGTAAAACATGTTTTTTGAGACCTATGCTACAATGCACATCTCATCGCAAAATTGACATTTGATTGCCAACATAAATGCTTTGGCTACACAAGAAGCATAAACTACGTCGAGGTATTTAAAGCATTCGTCCTTTAAACGCATGAAATAATTGCAACTGGACGTTAAGTCAGCAGTCAATCAATCAATATTAAACACGTTGTAATATGTTGTATTTTATTTGCATCATTACTTTTTTAAACGTTGTAGTTTTTCCTTCAAGTGTGTCGCTGTTTTCCAATTTCTGATTTCATCTTCTAATATAGTACACCCAACAAGAAGATGATGATTCCCAATCTGAATGAAGAAATGTTAATTTGGTCATCTTTTATAAGATATTATATCTGAACCTATATTGTTTTCTGTTTGGTATTAAATTAAGAATTAAGATCTATTTTGTTACATCTGGTGATCCGTTTATTTGGCAATCGCCATGGCAGTCAGCAGGGTTTAAGAACATCCGTTGTTCGACCTGCTAGTCAAATGCGTTTTGTTAAAATATACTTTTTCACTTTTTTGGTATTTTGGAAAATGTTGTTTGTGCTGTATTTAGACCCCTCTACCATGAAATTTGTTTTGCATGCACACGTATAAAAATTGCGGTTTTTATCCAATGCAACCATAGGTTTGAACGTTGTTTTTCAATTTAGACTTGTTTATATATATAGATATATATATATTTTATATTTTGTTTGTTCTCATTTTTTTAAATAAACTTCATCGAATAAACTGATATTTTGTGGTTTGAATTCTTCGCTTCTTTACACAATTTGCAATACGGGTTTTTCAGATATAAATTAACGTAAGAGTAAATATATTTTTTTCAGTCGGGCATCGCAACATTTTACTTAATTTATATAGATTTCTAGATTATGGCTCTATAGTGTATGGCTCTGCAAGGAAGTCCTACATACAGATTCTCGATGCTGTGCATCATCATCATCAGGGTTTGCGTCTCTGTCTTGGCGCATTTAAAACCTCACCAGTTGAGAGTCTGTATGTAGAGGCTGATGAGCACTCACTCTCTAACAGACGTTTGAAGCTTGGACTTCAATATGCTGTCAAACTAAAAGCCTACTCAGATAATCCTGCCTACAGCTGTGTTTTTAATCCAATTTATGAAGATATTTTTGCAAAACATGAAAATAAAATTCCTCCGTTAGGTATACGTTTAAAACCACATTTAGCTTCTTTTGATTAAAAATCTGTTGCTCAAGTTGAAACTTGCAATTGTCCTCCATGGGAACTTCCCAAACCAAAAATGATATTTGATCTCCGTGAACACAATAAAAAAAAAAAAAATCCTCTTTTAATTCAGCAACACTATGCTGAAATCAAAGCCAATTATTCAGATTTCTCAACTGTCTATACTGATGGATCAAAAGATGGTGACAGAGTTGCATCTGCTGCTGTCTTCAGGGACAGAGCTGCAACTCTCCGTTTGCCATCTGATGCATCGATCTTTACTGCTGAAGCAGAAGCAATAATTTTGGCTTTGAAATTTATTGCTTCTTCAGATAAATCCAAATTTATTATATGTTCTGATTCACTTTCATGCTTACAAGCTATACAAAATACTAAAATTAAAAATCCAACAATTCTCAAAATTTTATATGTAATGAGGAATTAAAAAATTCTTCTTAAAGAAATATTGTTTCTATGGGTGCCGAGTCATGTTGGAATCCTTGGAAACACAGCTGTAGACCTTGAGGCAAAGAATGCCCTGGGTGACCCTTTATCTAACTGTGATATACCATATACTGATTTTAAATCTAATATTAGAGAATATGTTTTTAATATATTGAAAAATGAATGGAGTAAAAAAGATGGTAATAAATTACATGAAATTAAACCTAATTTATGTAAACCTTTCAATAATTTTATGTGCAGAAAGGTCAGTGTGTTATTTCTAGATGTCGTATTGGTCATACTAGAATAACACACGAATATCTTTTAAAAAATGAAGTAGAACCACAATGTATACCTTGTAACTGCAAGTATACTATTAAACATGTTTTAATCAGTTGTATTGACTTTGCTGATATTCGTAAGAAGCATTTCAATGTCAATAATATGTATGATTTATTTAATAATGTTTCATTTACAAATATTGTTTCATTTTTAAAAGAAGTTGGAATATATTCTAAAATATAAAAATGTTATTATATTTAAAACGATTTTAAATTTTATCACGTTATCTTAATGTTCATTTTTATTTGTAAATAATCAATTTGCTGTAATCTAGAATTTTACTTTATTGAAGGACCTTTTGTCTGATTTTAAGAATATGCTTTAAATTGTAAAAAATATTCGAATTAGCTCTCGCCGCGATATAGCCTTGTTGTGCTAATGCGGCGTAAAGCAACCAACAATCAATCAATCAATCAATCAATCGTCATTTGATGTATGGTATCGTTAGCGTTTCTGTAAGGGTATACTATATGATAATTTCCTTGATATAAACTCATCACATCTACAAGGCTTGTAATCTAGTGCGTCAGACGGGCGTTTAACAAATAAAATTGTATCGTTCTAAAATTGGTATTTTAATTTGAGTTGTATTTCGTCTTCATACGAATTTTCAGTAGCGCTTCAATAAACAAAGTTGGAAGGCGAACATTCAGTATAAAGTTAAAGAGCATTCAAACCCCTATTTTTAAAGTCGTACCAAATACGGATTATGTCAGCTAAATACATCCTCGGATTTCAAATGTTTGGCTTTGAGCGTTCCTGATGAAGGTAAATCCAGAAAAGCGCTTCGGACGCATGAAATTATTAAACGTGTTGTTTTCAATTTTTTACATCACTGGGTCGATACCTCTGCTGGTGGACTATCAGTCCCCAAGGGTATCATCAGCTCAGTAGTCAGTACTTCGGTACTGACATGATTTATAACAAACCTTTCTAAAATTGTCTGTTTATAAATTTTGAAATTATAAAGAAACTAAGGTTTCAATTCTCTCAGACAAAGTTGACCTTAGATGAATTTGGCTATTTGTTTTAGTTTTTTTTGTCATATAGCTCTTCAACTGTTTCGGTACTTATACATCCCTCGGATTTCAAATGTTTGGCTTTGAGCGTTCCTGATGAAGGTTAATTCAGAAAAGCGCTTCGTACGAATGAAATTATTAAACGTGTTGTTTTCAATTTTTTATTCTATACATGAGAGTAGAAACTATTTCAACAGTTAATAATAAAAGGATTGTATGATGAACTACAATTCCAGAAGTATCTGGATGTATCGGAATTAGAACAAAGATTAAACATGTATACCAGCAGCGGTAATGGTCCAATGCAAGTAAAATGTAAATAAAGCCAAACATTTGAAAATCGAATGTTTAAATACCGACTACCATATGTTCAATTCTTTTTGCAGTAAAAGATGACCTTTGAATATATTATGATGAGGTATGTACAACCAGCGGCGTAGGTCATATGTGGATTCTTAAGAATTCTAAAGATCTACTACAAAATCTTTAATCAGAATATTTATTGTTTTGCAGTTATATCAAATGTTTTTTTTTATTTTCTACGAATGGCACTACTATTACCTATGCACAAATGACAGATCGACTACATCGTCTCATGAAACAGAGAGGTTTTTTTTTACAAAAATGGGGATCGTAGATACAAATTCCTTTTTATGGCCGTGATTAATCTTATTTTGTAAAAAAAAAAATTACACCGATTTAAACAAAAAAATACAATGAAAAAGACATAATGAATGTGCTTGACTTTTTAAACGACACTGTGGTTGAGTTTGGTTGATTGATAGTTCAACAGTCGGTATTCTAAGGGGAACTACTTATCAGAGGCGGATTTAGGGAGGGCAGGGTGCCCCCCTCCCCCCTTTGTCGGAAAATGTGTTTGATTATTTAGGGAATCACTGAAGCATGACTAAGTGTGCCCCTCTTGTGGCAGTCTGTGCCCCCCCCCCCCCCCCCCTTCCTTTATGAAAATTTCTGGATCCGCCACTACTTATACTAACTTGCTTACTTCTTTTTGTACCAGTATAAAGCAGAATTCATACAGAACTTTGTCAAAGACAAAACAAAATGCACCTTGCAAAGTTCTTTAGTTTCACTTTCAGACATACTGATGATATCCCTTCAATCAATAACCAACATGGGTGTTACCCTTACACATCAACCGCGTCAACAGAAATTTGAGGAAAGTTGACTATGATCGTTTTGGCGATATGATAACCTCGGTAAACTAATGTTTCCCATATTTACAGAACCTGTTGGATTTTTAGTATTCTTATATGTTATTGTTTTTTTTTAAATTATTGTACTTAATTCATTCAGTTCTACATAACAAATCTACACATAGACAGATTGGAAATATTAGCTATCACACAATAAGACGTCGGAAACCAGTTCATTTTGTTCTGTTTAGAGATGCATTGAATACTCGTAGGGAATAATGTTCTTTCCATATATTGCCGCCTTTGATCTAAATTAGAAATGAGTATTCAAATGTCGTGAAATACTACTGGATACTAAGTGCTATTAGTCAACGATTTACTGGTCGGTTCTATATTTACTATTTTTCTTTTTATAAAAATCTTTTCATTTGAACTTACATATTCCAAGTCTACAAGCTGTTGGGCACCAATCCAGTACTGTTTATGCAGCAAAGCCAAAAATACAAGACCGTAACATTCAGAATCCCTATTCATAAGCTTTGCTTCTGGTCCAGTAAAACCTTTAAAACAAACAGCATCATTTGATATCATTTACTAATAAAATGTAAATAAGGTAATATATAAGACACAGATTTTTATAATATTACTTTCGACATACGGTTAGAAATAAAATCAATAAATGAAGTATTAAACGGATACACGTACTAAATAAAATTGAGAATGGAAACGGGGAATATGTCAAAGAGACAGCAATCCGATCAAAGAGCAGACAATAGCCCAAGGCCACCAATGGGTCTTCAATACAGAGAGAAAGTCCCGCACCCGGAGACCGACTTCAGCTGGCCCCTAAACAAAAATGTGTACTAGTTCAGAGAAAATGGACGTCACACTAAACTCCGAAACATATGAATGAACCAAAATCTAAAAAAAAAACATACAAGACTAACAAAGACAAGAAGTTCCTGATTTGTGACAGGCGCAAAAATGAGTCGGGGTTAAACATGTTTTGTGAGATCTCAACCCCCGGTATGCCAATGCTTCTTATTTTGCACCCATACTGGTATACTTGGTTTTGTTACTCATATGAAGCAGAATTGAAGAAAAATAGAAAAAAAAAATCTTGCAAAGATCTTCAATTTCAATTTCAGATATATTGAGGGTTCCAGTCAATCAATACCTTCATTTCAGTGAGTGCTTGCATCTCATATATCGTAGTAAACTTGTGATTCAGGATAATCCCGTAATCAGAAAGTGCTTCAGTCCTTCATCTTTTTCTAGATTTTGACAATAAGTAAGGACGTCTAGCTATAATCTATCACAAACATAATGATTTCAACTTTTTGTCAACGTCCTATTTTCTAGCAGGAACATCGTAAAGCGTTTACAAAATGTACATATCTTAGGTAATACAACTCTCGTACATGTTCACACTTTAACGACTTTATCATTTCCTTTTAAGTTATCATAATTCTTCTAATTGTAAATCTGTTATACAAATTATAAATGAAACCATTCCAAATGGTGCTATGAATCAGTTTCCGGACTTGTAAATGGCTCCGGTAAACTTATACTATAAATGACCAATTTAATAATATAACTCTATTCTATAAGATTAATATCTGAAGTCATTTAACTACACAAGGTCATGTTTTTTTCTGACTGTTAATGACGTTTTAACACTTAATCCATTGGATGTTGGACATGTATTGATTAATATTTTAGTCTTAGACATTTTTTATTAGTTGTTATTGACCTTTAACTAGCTTTCAGTAACTGCGAGGACTCTCAGATCTGTACTTTCTTTTGTTTTTTTGTTATGTTTTTGTTATGTTCTTCGTATCGAACTGGTGAGTTAAGCCTTTTTCAACTGATTTTGATAGTTTTTACTTTTACACAAATGTTCCCGGTTATATATTATATAAGCCTTTTATAGCTTATTATGCGGTGTGGGTTTTGCTCATTGTTGAAGGCTGTATATAATTGTTAACTTTTGTCAGTTGGTCCCTGGTGAAGAGTTGCCTAATAAGCAATCATACCACATCTTTTTTTACATTTATATATGCCATGCTCAACTAAATTGAAGTAAGTACTACAAAACAAAACAAACAAATCAAAACAAAACAAAGCAAAGCAAAACGAAACAAAACTAGCCTGAACAAAAACAGAAGATACAATCAAATCAAATATTGTTAAATGAAATCCACTACAAAGCTATAGATATATGAATTTAAAAGGCTTTCGAAATATTTGACACGCCAAAATGCTGTCTGAATTCTCGCATCGCAAAGCACAACTTCTGGATTTATTTGTATCGGGGTTATATTGGATGAAGTTGTCTCAAATTTAATAAATGTATCAGGCACTTGACTAATACAGGAAGTCCTAATTTACATTAGAATATTTACCTAATTGCATACTTCCAAATCTTTAAGAAGAAAGTCACAACTCAGTATGGAGACAAACAATTGTATGTCACAAAGACATCTATGACATAACCATGGTTTCATTTTTAAGTTTTTGTTAGGCTGAAGATTAATCAGAGTAATACTTTTAATTTTCGAATAATAATATTGGTGTCAAGGTTTAATTTTAATCAATTTAAGTATTCGCCATATTACTATTTGATACAAACCTTTGTGATCAGGCAGTTTGTAATCCATGTCGGTAAAACATTTCTGGTTTAACCATAATTCCTTTATATATTCATACTCCTTTTTAAAATAAACACTAAATATGTAAAGATTGGTTAGGCCAATTTATTATAAAGTAAAGCAGTACAGTATCAAGTTAAATATGTAAAGATTGGTTAGGCCAATTCATTATAAAGCAAAGCAGTACAGTATCAAGTTAAATATATGAGTCAATTTATTATAAAGCAAAGCAGTACAGTATCAAGTTAAATATATGAGTCAATTCATTATAAAGTAAAGCAGTACAGTATCAAGTTAAATATATGAGTCAATTTATTATAAAGTAAAGCAGTACAGGATCAAGTTAAATATATGAGTCAATTCATTATAAAGTAAAGCAGTACAGGATCAAGTTAAATATATGAATCAATTCATTATAAAGTAAAGCAGTACAGGATCAAGTTAAATATATGAGTCAATTCATTATAAAGTAAAGCAGTACAGTATCAAGTTAAATATATGAGTCAATTCATTATAAAGTAAAGCAGTGCAGTATCAAGTTAAATATATGAGTCAATTCATTATAAAGTAAAGCAGTACAGTATCAAGTTAAATATATGAGTCAATTCATTATAAAGTAAAGCAGTACAGTATCAAGTTAAATATATGAGTCAATTCATTATAAAGTAAAGCAGTACAGTATCAAGATAAATATATGAGTCAATTCATTATAAAGTAAAGCAGTACAGTATCAAGTTAAATATATGAATCAATTCATTATAAAGTAAAGCAGTACAGTATCAAGTTAAATATATGAGTCAATTCATTATAAAGTAAAGCAGTACAGTATCAAGTTAAATCTATGAGTCAATTCATTATATGCATGTTGTTTATATGTTCTTTTATTTATTTGTTCAGTGTTCGGTGAATATTTGTCTCAGTTCTTTTATTTATTTGTTCAGTGTTCGGTGAATATTTGTCTCAGTTCTTTTATTTATTTGGTCAGTGTTCGGTAAATATTTGTCTCAGTTCTTTTATTTATTTGTTCAGTGTTCGGTGCATATTTGTCTCAGTTCTTTTTACCCACAGCTGATTTATTTGAAAGCCTGTTGTGTGAATCATATGGGGAACACCGGATGTAGATGTTGATGAAGATGTTTTTTTATTCACGCATATAACTGATTGATAATTATTTCATTCTTTTTGTACACTGTTAACAACATTAGAACCTTCACCTCCTCATATATGTATTCTAGAGCCCTCTTCAGATCGATTGGCCATTTTATGTACTTTTTTGGAATATTCCACTCCCCTTTCTTCAAAAGGTACATGAACAATGCAGTATGATTGTATGCATGTATTTCTTTCTGAAACATAAAATTCATGCCATGTTATTGAAACATAAGTATAATATAAAAACAAAAAATTAGAAATCGCATTTTTTGTTAGTTTTCTTTCCAACTAACTAAATAAAAATAAAAAGTAACCAGTGCTGACATAGAAAATGAAACATCTACAAGAATGAACCCTTTGTCGTGCAGAGTATGTCCCACTTTTAATTCAAAGTATCGGATAACATGACATATCCGATTTTGACATATCCACAAATGCTCACACGTTACAACTCATCACTGCAAAACTTCTGGCCAACTATAAAGTCATAATTTAAGTAGTCCCGCCGCAAAATTGTGACATTAGATTCAATTGTCAATTTGTTTGCATTCAATTTAGTATTGTTCAGTAGCTTTTCAGACGGTCAGAATGATGTTGATATGTACAGGTAAAGAACAACTAATAAACAATTTGAACATTGACTGAACAGATCTTAATTGACTGCAAGCAATTTGTCTAACAGCACTGAACTTATTGCATTGGATAAGTTTAAAAAGTATATTAAAGAATGAAAATGTCTTTACTATTGTTTAGTCTTCCAAGTATGAAAACAAGAAGATATGTCAATAAGACAACCTTCCATCAGACACCAAATGACGGTAGAAATGAAAAATATAAGTCACCGTACAGCCATCAACAATGAGCAATACCCAAACAGCATAGAACTGTTCTGATCAAAATTGTATTACAGTTCTACCAAAAGCATTCCTCAGATGTTCAAAAGACAATGATCGGACATTAGTACTGATGTATTTGTTTCAATTTTGTCTAATATGTCTGCATTAGCGCTCAAACGTCATTGGGTGCAAAAAAAGCAAAATCTTAATCAAAACAGCATCATTTTAGGATCTTGTCAGTACAATTTACACAATGTTTACAAATATGTCTATGTTTTTTTTTAAATAGCATTTCGGGGTATAGCTCATATATCATTTGACTAAAAACTATGCATAACATGGACATTATAGGTCAGTTTATGAACTGCAACAGGTTTATGAATCAAAATAATAAAGATAACTGTGTTATTCTTGACTAGGTAACTGTTTTTTGCAATTGATAAATAATGGTTTATATCATACCTCCCCCATTTGAGAGGATATATATATTTTTTCTCTGAGAAATACAACTTACAAATTTTTGCTCTGCTAAATCCTCGTCCATATACACTAGAAATAATAGATAACACAATTTATACATAGATATACATTGTTATTGACCACTTAAATTTTGTAAGTTATATTTGAGATATATTCCAAAAGACTTTGAAAGATACGGTGGGCAGTAAATACAAATACCAATTCATTTACAAACATTTTAGACAAAAATAAACATTTTTTCCAAACAGGCCATGAGTAGCTTTGATCAATTTCAGGACGAAACTATCTCTTAGTTCGTATCTATTTGACACAGAAAATAAGCCAACAGATGTACAATTATTATGAGCAGTATTTTTTTTTTTAACTTCCATAAATCTTCAATGACATTTTGGTATTAATGATATGTATATGTATGGTTGACTGAATACTTTTACTTGTTCATAGTTTGAATTGTATCAAGAAATTGACAATACATTCTTGAAAACGGGTTGCTGCAAACAGAGAAGCTATTGAACAAAGGGTTCCATGTGTTAAGTGGTAGTTATTCCTGTGAATATTTTACTGTCGCTTTACAGAGATGTCTGACCGTTACGAAACAAGTTGTCGCAAATGACAACGGACATGTTACAACGTTCGTGGCCTTCCATTTTTTTGCCATGGCGTTGTCTGTTTCTCTTCTAATTATTTGTTGTGACTGTCTGCTGGATACCACCGTCTCTTTTTCATTTCATGTAAAATACGTATGTAAACGCAAATTGATTCCTTGCACTGGAGTCATTAGAATCCAAAATGGTAATTGTTGTCTTATAGTGGAAATATACCTCTAATAAGCATCTGACAAACGATAATATCAAAGTTACACCAGTTTTCCGAATTAACATTTTCAGACAGAAAATCATCCTTCACTAGTTTTGTTTTCTTTAAAAGCCATTCACTTTCAGTATCTGTTGTGTATTCTGAAAAACTCTGATCAACTTCTTCCGGCCATAACACACTAACATCGGACATGTCGCTCTGGTTTACATAAAATGGTAAACGTAGGAGTTAAACTAAAATGTAATGAAGACAAAACCCAATGACTTGTTTTTTTCTTCTGATTTCCATAGATTTATTTTGTTTTTTTTACACTCTTTGAAAAAGCCGTACTTCATTCCATGATTTGATTTCATAACTTTGTTATGGGAAAAATTCCGAAATGTGTCGAATTTGTTTCAAAACACCTTAATTGAGATTTATATACATAAACACATAATGAAAAGTGTGTTGCCAGTATGGTGGTGTATTGAAAGAAATGATCCGTATGACAGTGAGATCTTAGTTTTCCCCATTTAACCACTGACTAGTTGCATGTATGCAGGGTTATTTTACTTATATCGATAATTTGTAAAATATTCTCATTTGCATTAATTGAAGACTAATTAATTTAACAAAAACATCTAAAATTAATGTTAAAAATATTGAAAGAATTACTTTCCTTAATTTAAATTAAATTGTTTCGAGAAAAAATCTCTGAAGTATATTCACGTATCTAAATTGATATCTTTTGTATACTTTGTTCAATTCAGTGAAAGTTAACCACATCGAAATATATTTGTGGTATTTGAATTTCTAAAGTGCATGTGTATCCTTTGCGAAAATGCAAACTACGGTGATTTTTCAAATGTTGTTCTTAGCAATACAATATTTTACCTTTAATCGAATAATAGGTATCTGCATTTTTTGGCTCTTCCAATTGTTTCCAATGGGTATAATGACAGGTACAACGTACAATCCGAAGAAATCTTTTATCAGCCAAAGAAAGAAATGAAAAAAAGACTTAAAATAAAAAAACCAAAAGAATAGATAAATAGATTATCATAAATATATTTATAATGAGAATAGTAATAATACAAGTTTAAATCAAAGTAACCGCATCATGCATACGTGGTATGTGACTATTCGTATATTCTGTGCCTTTTACTGTCTAAACAGCATCATAATACCATGTTAATATGTCTAATATTAAAATGCGTTTACCTTCTTTCACACTAGACAAAACTTAAAAACACAAAAATAAAAAAAACAAAGTCCCAGTCATGCTGTTAACACAAAGCAAAATTTAACCTCTCACTGAAATTTAAGATAACTTCTATATGTCATAGAAGTGAGAGGTCAGGAACATGACAGTTGTGTTCCATTCGTTTGATGTGTTTGAACTTTTGACATGTTTGATTTTGCCATTTTATAAAGAACTTTCCGTTTTGAATTTCTTTGGAGTTCGGTATTTTTTGTTATTTAACTTTTTCCTAACAATGGTTGAATTTTCTTCCTTGAGTTTTTAAGTATCACGTATACGTTGACTGATTTATTTGATGTCACTGCGGTTGTAATTTTATTTACACTAAACATTCAATATATCATAACTATATCTTAGAGGTATACGCAATATCTATCTTTTAAACATTCTTTATTAAATAGTAATCAATGTATCACTCATTAAGGATATCAGGCTTATAATTTAGTACGCAATACGACTTCGCCTACCAAACCCCCAAAAATGTTTATTTAGATTTAGCCACGCCCCTTTTACTGAAAAAAACATTAATGTTTTGATAAATAAACATGTCATACAACTGATAATATTTAAGTCATATTTAGAAAAAAGGTAGTTATTTGTTAGATAACATACATTCTGCAATTTCATTAAAGTAATCCATTTCGTTTCCTGGTTTCCATGATCCATTGATGTCCACTCTTTCGAATCTACGAAATCCTTGTTTTACAAGTTCCTAAGAAAATATTGAAATTCCATATATTATGTAGCATTGGTATCATTCAACGAGATTTAGACCCAACATTTACAAACTCTTATGTGGTTACATACATTTATGATTAACAATGTATAATGAATTAAAATAATAATCATACAAAATACATATTCAACGATTGCACATTTTTTTTATTGAACATAAGTACCTCAACGTACAATAATTATTACTTTATCTGTCTCGTAGTGGATGAAAGCAATATCGGTAGAATCACAGATCAGTAAAACTCTTGTTCCTACAAAATGACAAGGCAATTTGGTCTGTCCTGAAAGAACGTGAAAAGAAAACAATTTATACATTTGTGGCGACCGAAGTGCATCTCCTAATTGGCGTTAATCAGGATCGCACATACCCCAAAAAGTTTTAACTACCGGAACACGTGATCAACTAGCTGACGAACCGATGCAATTCAAAACAAAGAAATATAAGGTCAACCTCGACTGGGGGTTAAGAACCTTACTTTGTTAATAATTTTTCAATTGATAATTTAAAAATAAAAGTGTGTTATGAATCATGTCAGCACCTAAGCAGCGACCACACCGACGTAATATCTAAAACACTACAAATATTCCTACTCTTATTCCCCTCTCAAACCGTTGCTAAGGGACGTCTCAAGTTTTGTCATGAATTGATACCCCATATACTCTATTTTCAATATGTTTCTCCGTGCTTGAGGTGTATGTTCCTATGTTTTTTAACATTTTTACCTATTATGTTTTTTTGTTTTCCTCACACATTGCTGTCAATATAGTAGAAATCTATGCGACTGTCATACAAGTGAGAGGTTTCGGTAAATATAAAACCAGGTTTATTCCACCATTTTTTACATAAGGAAATGTCTTTACCAAATCCGGAATATGACAGTTGTTTTCCATTCGTTTGATGTGTTTGAGCTTTTAATTTTGCCATTTGATAAAGGACTCTCCGTTTTGAAATTTTCTTGGAGGTCGGTATTTTTGCTATTTAACTTTTTACAGTTATGGAGTATTCATTCTGACGATTTTCTCATATATGTGCTCGTTAGTATTCCCGCTATCGGCCATTTTGTTGATGGAATTGATATACAGTTCGCAATATACATGTACATACGTCATTTTTTCCAAACTTCTAAAATATATCTCGTGTGCCTCGTTGTTGAATAAATGTTTGTATAGGATCTACAGGCTAAAAGCAATTGTTGGAAATTTATGTATATACTATATGCAAAAAAAAGAAGATGTGGTATGTTTGTCAATGAGACAACTCTCCATATGAGACCAAATGACACAGAAATGTCTGGTTTCTTGGCCAGATATATATATAATTGATCATTTGTTTATGTTTCTCCAGGTTTATATTCTCCAATGCACAGTAGTTGTGTCTTGCAATGCATTCTGATCAAATCGGTGCTAGGAACCGTCTTTAACTTTAGTGAAGCGATAGTATATTGGAGATTATATCCAAATAGTATGCACATTTTCCAAAAAATGTTCCCCTCCGCTTTCAACCAGAATTGCCGAGGATGACGAACTTAAAGCAGCAAAGATGAAATATCTTGCCTCTCGGGTGACTATTATCCAAGCGTTTCTTTAAGCGAATTCCTTCGAAAGAAAAAATTGAATAATCGATGGCAAGGTTTTGGTGCTTAATATAAAATCATAAGATCCAAAATAAGAGAAATTAAAAATATTTTTTTCCCAGGAAATCCGGTATCTTTTATTTTGTTTCTTTTTTCTTTGAATTTTTCTATATTCTATCCCACAGATGGGTTTCTGCTGGCGATTGCCATTTTCGCACTTTGAGAAAAAATAAAAACTGTTGCGATTAAAATTCATTATTGGCGAAAGATTTTGCGAATGAATAATAACCGTTTGACTACGTCTATATTGTTAATTGTTTTCAGGTTTTTCGGACTTTTTCCCTGATCAGACGATACTGGGATTTCACCTTGAACTTGTCGCGCGGTACGATTGTGAAAAAAAATCAATAATCAGCTGATTGCACTTTTTAGCTATCGGCAACAATGGACTATTTAATAAAAAAAAAAGGGTGTTGATTGTGGATTTAATGAAATTGTGTGGTTAAATGGCGTCACATGTCACCTTAAGGATAGTTTTAAAACTTTGATAGAAATAATTATTTTGAAGTGGGTACTAAGCAATCGTTTAGGGATGCACGTGTTTTATTTGAATCATAGTTTTACATCTCAACTTTTTCTTTAAACGATGGCCCAGAACAGGAAACTGTTTAAATGAAGAAAAATGTTCAAAAGTTAGAAAATCTTTGACCTTTTTCCTTGAACTTTGATAGACGTAATTGTTTTGTAGTAGGTACTTCACATTCTTTTTTGCAACGCACGTGTTTGAAGCATAGTTTTATGTCTCAACTTTTTCTTTTAACGATGGTCCGGAAAAGAAATCTGTTGTTATGAAGAAAAATGTTTATAAGTAAGAAAAATCTCTGACTTTAGTCTTCATCCTTCAACTAGACGGAAAGTATCCGATAGACTTATTGCAAATGAATCCAGTGTTCCCAGAAGTCCAAAATGATGATTTTATGATTTATATTGCAATTTCACAGTATCTTTAAAAAAAGTAAATGTTTGTAAAAGAGGGACGAAAGATACCAGAGGGACAGTCAAACTCATAGATCGAAAACAAACTGACAACGCCATGGCCAAAAATAAAAAGACAAACAGACAAATAATAGTACAGATGACACAACATAGAAAACCAAAGACTAGGCAACACGAATCCCACCAAAAACTGGGGGTGATCTCAGGTGCTCCGGAAGGGTAATTGTTGAGTGTTTATTTGTTACAACGTAGACAGATTAAACAAAAGATATGTAGAATCAGAGATTGTATTACATGTCTCCGCTAGAATTATAATAGATTAGACAACAATGTTGTAAAATGATTTTTTGTGTAACAAAGAAGAAAAAAATTTAAACGATAAAATATGTTTATGAAAGTGGCGAAAAATATATTATTTTGGCGAAAGAGGTGGACAAACTGAAAATTGAATCAGGTGAAACCTTGCCAAACAGTGTAATAAAATACCATTATATATTTGATATGAGCTTCTTATCTTAAGGCAGTGTACTTGGTGGTAATGTTGACATCATATTACATAAAATTGTATCTAATATTAGAGAAATCGAAAATAATTTTCAAGAACTCCGGGTTTTTCATATTCCAAAAAAGCTGTAAAATACCATTATATTTTTATCTGACTTAATATATCAAGACACAGTACTTGGTGGCTACATTGAATTTTCACTTAATAAGCAAATTTTTAGATGCAATATCAGAGAAAATGTAAAAAAATACAGAAATCTGTTGTCTTTAATAATTCTTTTAATTTGTTTCCTCGAAATGCACGTGTATTGATTTGAATAGGTTATCATCATGTGTTTTTGTATCAAAGATATCACATGTACTAGTTAATGAAGTACTCTTTTATAAAAGTGTTATTTTCATTCTCGAAGAAGGTGACTACACCCCCCCCCCCCCCAAACCCCCGCCTCCCCCCCCCCCCCCCCCAAAAAAAACCGGAAAGGTCACCAATATGACTAAGGAACATGTAGTTCCCTGTGCACCTGTACGCTTAGTGTGGTTGGAGACATTTAAACACTAATAGATGACTCCCTACAAAACATTTTAAAATCATTGCCTTTGATTCACATGACATTGTTTTTTTTCAATTTGTAATTTGTTCTAATAATTTAGAAAGCTTTGCATATACTTACTTGCAAAAGATATGACTTCTTCCATTAGTTTCAATCTGTCATCTACTTCTCGATTAGCAAATATGAGACACGTCAACGGTTTATGTAACTTTCGTTTATCTCCAAACCGCAACGATTCCCAACAGATCACCTCAATCTATAAATAAAAGTTCTATGATGCAATAAATTGGAAGAGAAAATTGATTATTAAAAACATATGCTGAAGATTATGATGACGATGAATATATTGCAATATGATCGTATCGGATATACATTGTTTGGAAAGCGCTAGTAGTAAAAAGTAAAACATTAGTTAGTAGGCAGTCAATTATCAATGCTTAATCTGCATTGTAGACTGTTTTCTAAGAACTATTGTGTCTATCTTTGATGATTACATTTTATCAAAAATACCAAACTCCAAGCTTAATGTCCATATAACTTGACAAAACCAAACGCTCGACTATATTAAACAACGGAACGAAAGGAAAACAACAGTCATATTCCTGCCTTGAAACAAGCATTTTCGGATGAAAATAGTGGGTTTAACCTGGTTTAGTAGCTAGCTAAACCTTCCACTTTATCAACAAAATTGGATTAGCAACCCAAACAGACATAATTTGTTATCGTGACAACAAACGGGATCCAGCAGCCAACGATGTGCAACGATATTGATAAAAGATAAAGATATAAAAAAGATGGAATGAAATCGTATTGACAGATATTTCGGACCAACAAATAGCCTTCATCAGTGTCAGTCCCTTCTCAAAATGTGATATAACAATGAGTTCTGTGTGTGTTAATAGAGCTCACACATTCATACAGGTGATCGTTCTATGTCAAATTAAGTAGACGTGAACGGGTATCTTTGACATTACTGGATGTGTATTTTGTTAACCTACAATGTTTTACCATTAAGAACGTATGGGTCTAAAACGTGCGTGAAGAATTTCAACGAATCGTTTATGCTATATGAATTTGTTGCATTAGTTTAAAATGATTTTAAGTTTTATCATGTTATCTAGTTGATGAATTTTTATTTGTAAATAAGTATTTTCGCTTTAAACTAAAGTTTTAGTAAATTGAAGGACTTCATGTCTGATTAAAAACAATTATATATATATATATATTATAATATTTGAAATAGCTCTTGCCGCGATATAGCCGTTTTGTGCTGATGAGGCGTAAAGCAATCACCAATCAATCAATCAATTTAACCAGACAGACTCTACAAGAACATGGTATATTGAACTAAGTTTTTGATTTTATAGCAATACAATTTTTATTTCATGTTTTTCATTACATATTTTACGTAACGATGATTTTGTGAATTTTTCTTTCATTTTCTATGTTACAGTTTCATTTTAAAACTATAAATTCATGACCCGCGGGACGGATGGTGCTCATCTTTGCCTCATTGTCTTCTCTGTTAGGTTGTACTTTGTGTCATATTACTTTTATTTATATTGTCTTACATATACCGCGTCGGCCTTTTTTTCATGATTTGATGACAAAATGGGCAGGTTAAATTTACACTGTGTATAATTTTTGCTGAATGAGAAATACACGCGAAAAAATAACTATATCGTATTGATAAAGATGTAAACAACATAAACTTAAACATAAAACAGGAAATCGAATACAAATAAATATGACTAATACAAACAAAAATACACATAATTCAGAGAACTTTTATGGAACGTAAATTATGTACATTGGAACATGCTAAAACTTGAAGGTTTTGATCATTACAGATATACAAAAATCCATGTAAATGTGAATTATTTTCATTTTATTTTAACATTACATGCAAAATGTTCGGATTATGACACAAATCAATAGATTAACATTCTCCATTTCCATTCTCACTCCCCATTTCCTTTCTCAATTTTATTTGACATGTCACTGATTGCTGCGTTGTCAAAAGGTGTGGCATGTATGATTAATCAATATAATTATTATGAAAACAGAGATCTTAATTAAGTATGCCCATTCTTGGGATCCGTCGAAGAACACAAAAGACTCGGTAATTTACAGTATAATGTATAAAACTTTCGAACAATGATAAATCTTTCAATTTGCAGTGAAATTTACGCGGGGTCAAATTTTCGCGTTTTTTAGTAGCTGCGAATAAAGATAAAATTACTCACACGCGAAAAAACACGATATACGGTACATCCAGTTGTCATTTTTATTCTCAGGACTATCATTTAAGATTACCAACAGACTTTAAAAATTTTATTTTAATCAAATGCAGGATTTATAACATTCGTTTTCGGTGAACATTATTAAGAAACAACAAAACCTCTACCTTTTTCTGTGCGAATCCATCTCCGAACTCAACTATACACATACCACAATCGCCTAGAAATATAAAAATTAATCAACTAAAACACGTGTATATTATGTAAATATTCTTGAGGACTCTTTGTAGGTGGTAAAGTGAATCCAAACAGTTAAGAGAATGACTTCAATGTACTTTATAATATTTCATTATAAAAAATAACAAAAACAAATTATAACTAGTATGAATAGCTTGAATGTTCATAAAAAGTAAAATAACAAAAATACCGAACTCCAATAAAATTTCAAAACGGAAAGTCCCTTATCAAATGGCAAAATCAAAAGCTCAAACACATCAAACGAATGGAAAACAACTGATATATTCCTGAATTAGTACAGGCATTTCCTTGTGTAGAATGGTGGATTAAACCTGGTAATATTGCTAGCTAAACCTCTTACTTGTATGACAGTCGCATAGAACTCAATGGTATTGACAACAAAATGTGTGAGCAAAACAACCAGACAAAATAGGTAAACATGTCAAAAATTGGGGTACAGCAGTCAATATTGTGGTCTAATCGCAGTCACTATAAAAATAGCAACTCTGTCAAAAAAGAAAAACAAAATGGACTATAGATACTCTATAGACAAAGTACATAAGCAAAAATGAAAGACAAGAATACAAATATGACCATACCACAATAATACAATGTAGGGATGTATAAATACCGAGCCACGCCAAAAGGATATTACCAAAAATGGACTAAACAGTAAAGGTTTAAAATATACAAAGACACATAAAAAGAACAATGTTACACGTAATTGAGATGATAAACAACGTCAGTAACTAGAATCTACACTTCAAGACCATCATGTATTATTTGTGAAGGTGAAAAGGAATATTTATCAACAAGGTCTTGGTATCTTCCGATGGATTTTTTTTTTAAAAAGGACGCGACATTCTTTGACATAAACCTGATTCCATAATTTTCTGCTCAGCCACTGGTGACGTTTTATAAACTGAGTAGCAGCTGTAGGCTCTTGAATACCGAATGAGTTGGGAAATGTATATTCCATATGCGTTGAAGTTTGTAAATTGCTGTTAAGGTGGGAGAAATTTATAGTTTCGAAATTGAAATCGTCTCGTTTGTCATATACTTTCCACAAATGTAAGAAGTATGTAAGTCAAAATATAACAGGCAGTCTACTGTTCCTAGTGTTGTAATTTACTAAGTTGTAATTATATAAACTGTCCACAGTGGCTTTCATCCTAATCTTGAATTATAAATATCCTTTCATATTTTTTATAATCCATTTTGAATTTTCGTAAAATGCAGTTTGGTTTGCTTATATACTACAATACATTTGCCCAATCAATTATGCTTTATTTACAATTGGAAATGTTCCTCTAGAACATATATCATTGTTAAGTTACTCTTTTTAAATAAAACTTTGTAAAGAATTACACTGTTTGAACCCTTCAGTACAAATAAGTCAAAGACTTTTGTAATGTATCAAATCACTTTGTCCAATCTCTTGGACAATTAACAAAGCACATTATATTCCATTTTTTAATATAATACCGATTTAAAAGAGAGGCGAAAGATAACAAAAAAACATTCAAACTCACAAGTTGAAAATAAACCGAACACGCCATGGCTAAAAAAAGAAAAAGCCACAAAGACAAAGAACAGTACACAAATCACAACTTAGAAAACTAAAGACTGAGCAACACAAACCCCACCAAAAACTGGGGGTGATCTCATGTGATCCGGAATTGTAAGCAGATCCTGCTCCACATGTGGCACCCTTCGTGTTGCTAATGTTAGTACAAAACAAGTGATACGTCTAATTCGGTATGTCATATTCGGGGAAAAGGGGCCGAGATTGTAGTTACGAGAATTGGAACATATCTGTAGGGCAGTCTTGATTTAAAAGCTTCCTTGTGAGCAGCAACCCTCTACCAAGGAAATCATGATAGGAAATACAACCCTGGAATATCGTATCAACTGGGAGATATATACTCCGTATGCAGGTGCTGCTGGAATGTTGCTGCATAAAATTGGAAAGTTCACAATTGGGAAGCTAAAATCATCTCTTGTGTCGCAGAAAATCCCGCTGACGGAAGGACAAGAACTTGCAAGCGCAATCTAAATATATTGTTGCTGTTTATTTTCATATGCTAGTAGTGTAATATAACCATGTATAGCTATTGTCTTCTCAGCTCAATTGAAAAATCTCATGTAAAAGTGAAAAACATTTTCATCATGTAAGGTCAACAAAAAAGATGAAATGCCGAGATGTATCATTGCCATGTCACTTTATAGCATCTACTGTGTTTCAGAATAGTCGGACAAAGAAAGATGTCAATCTAAATGGTTGAAAGCTCAGAGAAATAGAGCAAGTATATAATTGCAATTCAAACCCACCATATATTTATAATATATATAAGTATTTCCAATACCTTCAATATACTGTCTTTTTAAATCTGTAATTTTGTAACCATAGAAGGTTTTACAATGTAACATCCTCCCACCAACACTTTTATGGCCTTGAATTTCCTGTTAAAAATAAATAAGCTTAAACATTACAAAAAGCTGTTAAAACAATTTCAATACTTTTTTTCTGACAGCACACTTGTATGGCCTTGAATTTCCTGTTTAAAATATATAAGCTTAAACATTACAACATAATGCTATTAAAACAACATAAATACTTATTTTTTTATCAGAGACATTCAGAAGGGTCAACAATCTCCATAGTTTATGAGAACATATTATTGAAAAGGTCAAGGTTTTATCTATATCTACTGAATTCTGATGATGAAAAGTTTCTACAAATGATAAAAATTCAAATGGGCAACGTTGTGTTGCATTTATTTATTACAGCACATCTAAGGACACACTTCTATCTGTTACCAAATTAGGAATATTCTCCTTTACTGAATTTCTCTCTGAATCGTAAATCCAACTTATTTTAAATTTAAGCTTAAAAGTACGAACAAGGGTCACAATATACTAGTATAACGTTTGTTATGGCTTTTGTGTAACACCAAAGTTACAACATAAAATTACACCAAAAGTTAAGCAATAATTGAATTTATTGAAAAAAATTTGGTCTTGATTATATTTTGTTGAGAGAATTTCTACATCATATATGACAAGAAATTAAAAGAAGTTTTTTCAATATAAAGTTGGTAAAACCAATCAATGTATGTCTTTGTACACTTGGTTTATTTATAAGTTGAAGGTTTTAAATACCAAGTCCTCTTATATATTGTAATTTTATGGTTGATTTTTTAGTGATTGTGCTAATGATTAGTTAAATAAGTCCTATCCAACTGATTGTAACAGGTTGTTATTATGTTGTGCAATTACAACGGTCTTGCAGGTAAGTAAGAGTGGAGCCCTCAAATACAATTTACACTCGACTAAACAATGTATGTGCCTGACCTAGGAGACTGTTAATCTGTGGTTGACGTCCTATTTATTTTCTGTCCCATGATACTGTTATTATGCGGTTAACGTCCTATTTATGTGTCTGTCTTAAGATATTGTTATTTTATGGTTGACGTGTGTAGCTGTATGCAATCTTCTATTTTGTTTATACCTTTTGTATTAATGAACCATATTTTTCTTTTGAATTGTTTCATTCCGTCATATCTTTAATTCAGGCAGCAAAATGATTTAACAAATACCATTTAACAACACGTTATTCTACTATGTTAATATTATTAGCTCATGGACTGACGCAGCCAAAGAAACATAACAATACAATGCTCAGGTCTATACATGAATGAATAGTTTGGTAATGTGGTTCATCTATGAGTTCAGTCGTCCATTTGTAGTCAGTCCTGTGCTAAATAAAAATTAAAGAGATGTGGTATAATTGCAAAAGAGACTACTCTCCACCAGGGATTAAAAAACAAAGAAGCTAACAATTATAGATCATCGTAAGGCCTTCAACAATGAGCAAGACCCATACAGCCTTGTAAGCTATAAAAAGCACTGAAATGACAAATATAAAACAAATCAAACGAGAAAACTAATGGCCTGATAACCGATTAGAATAGTCAATCCTTCAGACGCTAGATAGAAATAAGTGGTAAAGTCATTCCGTCAGACGATAGAAAAAAATGAATACCAGGAATGGTTGTTTCATTGCTGAAAGTCAATCTGTCAGACGATAGAATAAATGATGGCCAGGAATGGTTGAAATGTTTTAAAGTATTTAGTTTTACCCAGGTTGGGAAAAAAGTGCCTGAACATCATTTGTATTTAAATTGACTTAATAACTATTGTTTTATTTAAAGTTTTGATATTTCAAAGATATTTAGGGTTCGATGTACTTACAAAGTTCTTTGTTTTCCGACGACTCTCATCTTCAGATTCCGATTCCTGGAAAAGACATACATGCATCTCTATCAAGACGGTGCGTGAAAACTTTGGAAATAAATGATATGAAATAACCCCATTTCTATTGATCATCTGTAATATCTTTAACGGTACAAATCTTATTGCACCAGATGTGCATTTTGAAAAATAATGTCCCTTTGGTGAGGTTTGAGCCAAAAATATTTGGTAATCGAAAATCTGTTACGAACGTTTAAGAGATAACTTGATGCAGTTTAATAAAATAGTTTATTTTAAGGCAAACAGTAGACAATATAGTTTTACTTCAAAGAAATTCCCGATAGAGATGGTTTTTCTTTACTTATATTAAAAGGATATCTCTCTCCTGTTAACATTAAACAATATAGTGAAGTTTCTATTAAATATTGCAAATCTATTTTGGTTTAAAAAAATACGAAGGAGATAAATCACAAAACCCCTACAAATGAACTTTAAAGCTATATGTTTTATGACTTATCATTATATTAGTATGCAGAAGTTTGGTCACTTGTTCAAAAATTTTTCGCTCAATTTGTTTATTTAAAGAACTATTTTTTTTAATTATAATAACGATTTCATTTCTGTTTTTCTAAAAGACAAATCAATGTTGAATGTTAAATGTCACGTGGTGCGTCACTAAATTGTACAGATAAACATGTGATTACTAAGGATAGAGGCGTTATTTTTATTGTGCATTTATTTGTATATTTTAAGATAATGACAACATGTTAGGTCGTCGCTATGGAACTGAGTGTGCATATTATTATAGAAGACTTGACATCATCCCCGTTTTTTTGTAGGACTCGTGTTACTCAATCGTTACATTTGTATGCGGTGGTTGTCTTTTCGCCATAGTTAAAGTCGTATGTTTGTCTTCTGCTTGTAAGTTTGAATGTCCCTTTAGTATCGTCTGCTTCTCTGTTTAAACTACCATGGACATGAAGTATTCAGTTGTTGAACCAGCACGTACTTTTATACATTTCATTTCTGCTGTAACATTTAATTCGTCATGAGCTTTCTTGGAGTTTACAATAAAACATAAAAAAACGAATTTGAATAAAATGTTCACCATACCGATTTGGTAATCCAGTCTGTATCCGTCGAACCAGGCATTAATTCTATAACTTCTGAAACAAATCAAACCAAGACCTTAAAATGTAATTTTTCATTTAAGCCATGCGATGTTTTCTCTTCGACTTATACGAATTTTGACTGACACTTTGTTTCTCCCTATTTTTTCTTTTATTCATAATTGTGCCTTCTAAAAGATTTAAGCTATTATAACATTGATAAACTCACTTGCCTCTTAAACATATTGTTATGTTTAATGGATTATGTTCGAACATACTTTGGTTTACAATCATGACCCTTTAAAAATAGTTGTTGGCTAATTTTGCCAAAAATGTATCTGTTTCGATGTTATTTTAACAATGTATGATGTCAATAGCTATAGGTTGTTAAATGTATCTTATACTTTGGATAAACTCAATTATCACAGAAGAAAAACAAGTAGGCATAAAAAAAAAAACAAGAAGTAAAATAACAAAAATAACAAAAATAACGAACTCCAAGGGAAATTCAAATCGAAAAATCCCTTATCAAATGGCAAAATCAAAACAGCAAACACATCAAACGAATGGAAAACAACTGTCGTATTCCTGACTTGGTACAGGCATTTCCTTATGTCGAAACTTTTGGTTTAAACCTGGTTTATAGCTAGTTAAACCTCTCACTGACAGTCATATAAAATTCCATTATATTGATAACAATGTGTGTACAAAACAAACAGACACAATAGGTAAAAATGTCAAAAATAGGGGTACAGCAGTCAACATTGTGTTATATAATCTTAATCAATAAAAAAACAAACAAATATGTCAACAAAGAAAAACATGGCATATAGCCAATCATATAAGCAAAAATGAAAGATTGGAAATACAAAAAGGTCTACAGCACAACAACAAACGAACAAAAGAACAAACCAATTATAGAATAGAAACACATAAGAATGTTACTCTACGGAAGAAAATTTAAAAAAAAACAACAATAGATTGAATACATAGTTATCGATTGATACAGTGTAGCCTTTGAAAAATATTACATATTTTGATATAAAAAAAATTGAAATGTATAGGAATTTACACCAACATTTTGTATAAATATTGTTTTTTTCTTCTTTCCCTCCATATATCAAATTTTTTAACATTATGGACAAACTAAGATTATTTTTTTGACTAAACAACCGATAAGTTACATTAGATATTTCGGAAAACGTTATTTCGAAAATATGTCGTTTTTCTTTTGTATTTTTGTGCGAACCATTGGTGGTAATGCCTTATTTTAAACACTCGTCGGTAAATTCAATATTTAAGTAACTTACAATGAAGAAATATTAACTATTATTTCAATGATTGATCCACTATAACTGCATTTTTTTAATATTTAATTCCGAAGACTGGTTGAGCAGCCATACACCGTATATAAGCGAAGGTCTTACATTAGACATGTTAGAATAGAGAATGGAAACGCGGAATGCGTCAAAAAGACAACAACCCGACCAAATAGCATAAAACAGTCCAGGGCCCCCTATGGGTCATCAACGTAGCGCGAAAATCCCCAACCCGAGGGCGGGCTTCAGCTGATCCCTAAATTAACTTACTTATGAAATGGTCGACGCTTTTATATTTCTGAAAGTTAACAAGTCCGAACAAAAATTAATGTTACCTGACATCGTTACTGTTATGACTCATAGTAATCGTTGGATTAATTTACAACTAACAATTAACATCAACATCATTGCATATGACGTCCATTTGATGTATACTGATATATATATATTATCTGGCATATATATGTTGTCTTAAACAAGTCTAAATTGAAAACAACGTTCAAACCCATGATTGCGTTGGATAAAAACCGCAATTTTTATACGTGTGCATGCAAAACAAATTTCTTGATAGAGGGGTCTAAATACAGCACAAACAACATTTTCCAAAAGACCAAAAAAGTGAAAAGTATATTTTAACAAATCGCATTTGACTGACAGGTCGAACAACAGATTGTCTTAAACCCTGCTGTTGTCTTAAACATATATGTTGTCTTGGATATGTATATTTTTTCTTGGGTACATATATGTCTTGGATATATATGTTGTCTTGGATATACATGTTGTCTAGGATAAATATGTTGTCTAGAATGTATGATTTTTTACTAGTGTCTGCCTATGAACTAGCTTTCAGTAATTGAATACTCTTAGATTGGTACTTTGTTTCTTTATACAAATATTAAAATGAGGGATGTACAACCGCCAATCAAATAAGAAACTCATCAGAAAATAATGAAGTAGACGTTAGTAAGGGAATGATTGCCAATGAGACAACTATTTACAGGAGTTCAAATGAAGTTGATGTAAGCAATTGTAGGCAACCATACACTAGTAGCAATATTTGAGTCTGAAACGGTCATTTTGGTCTGATCAAGTCTTAATCGACTGGATTTACTGCTAGAGAAAAACGTCAAGACTTTTTCAGACTTTCAGACGCTGTCACGATATACCGTGTTAAGTCCGTTCAGTCATGTCAAGATAAACAAGACAGATTGTTCTTGCATCCGATTAAGACATGTTCAGATCAAATCAGACTAAAGGTAAAAATGCTGTTTAGACTTTTTAAGATCGTGTTCAGTCGTGTTAAGATTTTAAATATTCGGATGCAAAACGGGCGACACTTTCTCTGTGTTTATTAGGGGTTGTTTCCCTTTCGTGAATAAAATCGGAAAAGAATGGAGGGTATTCTTTTGTGGTCTTTTAATATTATGTTGTATGTCTATTAATTAAATAACGTTTGCAAAGTTGCAATTCATTTTTTTCCGATGTTATTTCACGTAAACATTTAATTGATTATATAAGAAAAGAATAATTGGTGTAACCGGAAAAGTGTGCAAGTCATAAAAACTTTGCAGTCGTGCTTTCTTGCATTAAGTAATTTAGTATTTACTCGTTCCGTCTGTAAAGATATAATGATTAGTAATAAATATCAGAAATGTTCTTAAACACATTTTCGTCTGTGATTTAAAATAATTGTTCTTACCCATATAAAATTAGTCAAGGAAAATATATTCTGAGTATCTTATCTACTTTATATTTTTCTAATTTTTGACAGATGACAGATGTTTGGTGAAAGTTATTTACATTTTAATATACGGATTATCTGAGCACTCAACCGAAACGGACTGTCAAACACTATCTTAATAATTATAAATACCCGTGCAACGCTGTGACTGTTTTATCCATGGAAGTTATGTGAAATATGTTGCCATGTTTTATCATATATAAGGATACACCGGATAAAATTATTACATTTACAAATTATACAACATTATTTCAAAATAAATGCAACAAGTATGCAAGCATATTTCAAAAATCTAGGTAACAGTTTATATTTAGTATAGGTACCTATAAAACCCGATTTTGATACTTCTCTGGCCTTTTTAAGCATCAAGTCTTTTTTAACAAGAACTAAAAAAAAAAAAAAAAAAAACTATATTATAGAAAAATTTAACATAGAATAAGTTATGAAACAATTATTAAAAAGAAAATGTACATAATTATACATCTAGTTTACGGTTTATATTTCTGTTTCGTAGCAGATTTGTTTTATATAGCACCCGTGCTACTTCTCATTTCAAAAACAAAATGTCAAAGTGGCTTGGTGCCTAAACGGCTTCATGGTGCTTCAAAAAACATATCCTTCTAATGATTAAAATTTAATAAATCTTCATTTATCAAGGCTAATGAACAATTTCCTAAACTGTAAAAAGAAAATTTGTAATAAAAAGTAATTATTTCAAGATTTGTCTCTTATATAATCAATCAATTGTCAACAAATTATATGTGACTTTTTGTCCAATCAAATTTGTAACTTTCTGTCCTGTGACTTTCTTTCCGCTGTCCGTTAAAAAGGACCTCCCGCACTCAGGGAGAGAAAACTGCCGAGACTACCAATGCTAATTGTTAGATAGAATAATAAGTACATCAGTCATTCTCAATTTTATATTTATATAATCAAAATATGAATGCTGGTGCTTAAAAAAATCTGTTTCAAATGTTTAATTTTAGGAATGCTCTGATTTCAAAACTTAAATCTTCCTCTGTTGCTTTCGATTGATATCATTTGCATATCATGTAATATTGTTCGCTGAACATTCAACTATCTTAGCCAAGCATGTGCACTTCGGAATGCAATCTATAGAAAAAAAAATAAACCAGTTTTAAATTATGTACATTGTGCGAGTGTCGTGTTCGACTTATAATCCTTTAATCTATAAAATAGTCATCAGTTACTATTAATACAATTATACTGTTGCATTTTTGACACTTTACTCAGAAAGATGTGAATATATTTTAATTTTCTTTCAACAAAATTTCCAACTTCAATTTGCTACTCGTCTACAAAAAAAAAACATTTATTGTTTCATTTTTGCCATCGAAATTCCTGATAGATATGTTTTTTTTTATCTATCTATCAGGTAAATATCAAAAATGAATCCAGAGTTTTTCAAGTACATTGACGGTTGTGAATTAAGGATTAGTTACTTTATATGGAAAACTCATTTACCTGAATGGTAATATTATCGTTAGTCTTTCTTTTAATAATTTGATAATTTTTCCTCTTTTGCAAATTATAGATAAAGAATAAAATGAAAATTTGTTTTCGATTGCATTCAGGCAGAGAGAAATATATATTTTTTTTTGTTTTATTTCAAATAATTACGGAAGATTTTTAGTACGGATATAAAACAAATCTTAATCTTTTCCAATTTGCAAATATAATTCGGTGGGTTTTTTTTTTTTTTGCACATGGTTGATGAAAATTGTATGATCTAACTTCTTTCAGAGGTCTGTTAAACCTTGAAAATATGACAATTCCGTGAATCACACGTTGCTACATAGAATTCTTGCAAAATTCAGAAACTTGCAGTACGGTTATATTTTATATTTTCTCCGTTGAAAAAGAAAGTGTTAAAATAAGAAGGTGTAAACATGAAAGGGGGAGGGTTGTTACACGACACGTTCTTCGCAATTTAATGTTGAACGAATAGAAGCTTTCTTACTTATTTCAAATATCGA